GGGCGATAAGGCCGAAGTAGTTCTCTACCCTACTGAGTCGACCTGCAGAGTCACTTGGTTGGAAGAATTTACACTCGTTCGGCAATCTGTGTGTAGGTGAGGATGGCTATTTTGATTCTGTGGTGCTCGCGCAAGTGAATGAATTTTCCCATGCTTGGTCACTAACATTTGAATAGCACGGATAACTGACTGACCCATAGCTGACCATAATTGTTTACATTCTTTTTCAAGCGGCCGATGAGATCGACTCAACATTAATTGAGTGGTTTTTCACTCAAAATCGCAAAAACGTAGGTTACTCATAGGCCGAGTAAAATTATCCTCGTTTTTTGTTTCAAAAACATTTCGACTATGAGGAAAATGTAGAGAGATTTCACTCAGTTTATTAGTATACTCCTAGACTAAAGGCTGACTAAAAGTAAATTGGTACGCACAAAAAGACCTGTAATTCGTGATTCAATAAGTTTTTAAAGAGTTGTTTTACAGTACTTTTATTAAAACTTCAAAGTTAAATTTCTTCAGCTAGAACGAAATCTCGAACCTTCTACTTGATGGAACTCATCAGCGCCCGCACAGTGAAAACGGACCCGGAATCAGCGCTTTTCTTCAATTTTCTCCACATGTCCTTGACTCTCCCGCCGCTTCGTCAAAGTCGCTGCTTTGAAATTGTGCAGTATTTTTCGATTGATTGAAATTCCGGGCAATTCGGAGAATTCATTAGCTTGGGGACAAAATCGATCTTGTTGTCAGCATACCACCCCAGAACCACCTTGGAGAAGTGGCAGCTGGCCAAATCAGGCCAAAATATGACTTTGCCCCTATGCCTGCGGATGAACGGCATTCTTCGATGTAAACTTGGGATGTCATCGTCGAAGATGTGACGAATTGTTTCGTTTTCTGGCCACAACTGCAAATCGCTTGCCAAATCATGCCCTTCTTGGCGAACTTGTCGGTAAACACGAACTTGAATCCTCCCGGCACATCTCCACGTTCAGTCGCGATATAAAACTTTTGACCGGGAAGCTGCTTACAATCGAGTTTGACGATTGTGTTTTGTCAAAACACGGTCGTACAAGAGCTTTACACGCTTTTAGGCGACGGAATTCTGCTTCATGTGTCGGTTCGGATGTTTAATGGCTTTGTAGGACTTGTATCCTTCCCAAGGATGTTCCGCACCGTTTGAAAGTTGGCGTTGTACCTTCTGGCCACATCTCGGATCGAAAGACCGGGGTTGGCTTTAACGCACCTCAACACCTTGCTGCGCAGCTGACGCAGTTGGTTCCAGTTTTTTCGTAGATCCGCTGATTCCTTTCCACACTCAGGGTTTCCTTGTAGGTATTGAGCATTCGGCAAACTGTTGTTTTCGGCATCTTCAGCACTTTAACCAGCTTGGAACCGGACCACTTTGGATTTTCCAGGTGTTTGTGCACAATATTTTTGCTTCTTTCGAGTTCCATTTGATGTTATTTCTGAACGCGACCGACTACTTTGATCAAACTTCCACCAGTTGTTCTCTATAGGAGTGTTAACAAACCACTGTCAAAGATTTTCGATTCTCAACACTAGTAGTAGTATGTAGTAAAATTATGTTTATTTCTGTTGATTATGATAGTACATTGATTTATCATTTTAATTGATTACCCTACTTGGCTCTTCATCTTTATTAAATTTGATATTCTAATTTCATATTTGCGTTTTTCAACTAGTTTACACAATATCCCTTTGGAGATGTGTTTTATTGGAATTGAAAAAGTGATAACCTACCTAACTACGAGTATAACTTAACGTAACGTGCTAGATCACGTATGATCTGATGATTTGATCTCAGACTGGTGTCTCTGAACCTTTCCAGGATGAATACTCTCCGTTCTTCTAATGCTTGAATTCCAGCCAGGAAGTGGATCTCAGAATTTCTAGTCTGCGGGGGACTGTTTAGGATCATCCTAAGGATCTTGTTCTAGATCCTTTGGAGTTTAAGGTGATGGCATTTTGGCATGATTGGCATACCGTACTCGATTACAGGAAGAATGATTTGTTTGTAGACAGCAAGCTTATTTTTCAGGGACAGGGTTGACTTCCTGTTGATAAGTGGATACAACGATCTTATCAAGATGTTGCACTTGGTTTTTGTTTTGTCAACGTGCTCCCTGCAAAGAAGCTTGCTGTTTAGGCAGATCTTGTTATTCTCCGACGGAATAAGTCTAGGAGATTTAGAGTGTGGAAAGATAATGACCTGGGTCTTTGCCGCGTTGATACGGATCTTCCAGCTGTTGAAATATTCAGACAGGACGTCCAGGCCTCTCTGAAGTTTGGCAGTCAGAGCTCCGATGACCCTACCCTTGTAGACGATGGATGTGTCATCTGCGAACAGAGACAACGATCCACCATCAGGGAGAGCCGGCATATCGGAGGTGAACAGGTTGAATAGGATGGGACCAAGGATGCTTCCTTGTGGAACCCCGGCATCGATGTTGAAAGCATCCGATGAGATGCCATTCATAGAGACTCGGAACGTCCTGTCTGATAGATATTTGTTTATGATCTTCACTAGGAAGATTGGAAGACCGTACTGCTGCAATTTGAACACCAGGCCATCATGCCAGACATTGTCGAATGCTTTTTCAACGTCCAACAACGCCATGGCAGATGTTTTCGAAACAGACTTGTTCCGTCTGAGAACGTTTGTCACTCGAGTCAGCTGGTGGACGGTCGAACGACCTTTCCGAAAACCAAACTGTTCCTCGAGCAACAAGTTTTCATCGGCAGATGTTAGGAGCCGGTGGTACAGTGGTCTTTCGAACAGTTTTGATAACCCTGAGAGAAGGCTTATTGGTCGATAACTTGAAGGAGAGGACGGATCCTTCCCAGGTTTCCGGATGGGTATGACTTTAGCTGACTTCCAACACGAGGGGAAGTAGCCAAGTCTGAGGCACTGATTAAAAATCAGTGCCAGATGGTTGTAGAATCTGGAACTCAAGTTTTTGAGTTCCAGATTCAGGATGTTGTCGAAACCTGGGGCCTTCATGTTTTTAGATGATTTGATATAGGCCAACAGTTCGTCAGTCGTAATCTCGGATTCCTCTGGAAAAATGTTAGGAACCTGAAGAAGATTGGTTGCATTTTCAGCAACCTCAGATTCATGAGTGCTGACGATGTTTTGTTCGAGATTATGAGAGCTGACGAAGTGTTGACCTATCGCGGCAGCCTTTTCTTCAGGAGTTATCAGATGAACCACTGGGTCGCCGGGACGATCCAGTGGGGTCAGTGGGGGAATGAGCCTAGGCTTGTTTTTAGGAATTTTTGTAAGTTTCCAGAAGGGCTTAGTACAATCTGGGAGAGAGCGGATCTTACTAGCAAAATCGTTATTTCTGAGATCCACCATCCTGGCCTGAATGATCTTTGTTAATCGATTACAATTGGTCCTCAAGTTAGGCAGGCTAGTACGCTGGTACTGCCTACGAATGGTGTTACGGAGTCTAATGAGATCTTTGGTAGGGCTGTCAAGGTTCAGAGTGTTACTCACCTGTCTCGATACTGGCACGTGTTGTTCCCTGGCCCGGGAAATCGCCTCCTCGATGGTTTGTAGACACCGGTCAACATTTTCCGACGTCCCCGGTTGGACATCGTAGTCGATGGTTGTGTCGACGCAGTTGTGATATTACGCCCAGTTGACTCGATGGTAGTTGCGCCGGGAAGCTTCGAATCGGTTTACCGAGGATCCAACTTCGGCCACCACCGGGTAGTGGTCCGAGCTCAGCTCCTGGAATGCCACAGGTTGCGAGACGTTGTGTCCCATGTTGCTTACGAAGATGTCGATGGTCGCATGGACCCCAGACCGACTCAACCGGGTGGGAGAGTCCGGGGCCAAGATGGTATAGTGGCCCTCTTGCAGGTCCTCATTGAGGATGATGCCGTTTCTATTGCTCCGACCGTTGCCCCAAGCTTGATGTTTTGCGTTCAGATCGCCAGCGATGATAAAGTTCGCGCTCCTCCGGGTGAGTTTGATGATGTCTTTGCGGACGGCCACTGACGACCCGTCCCTGATGTTGGTTTGCTTGGGGCAGTAGGCCGCGATGATGATGATCGGGCCAAGTGATGTGCTCACCTCCACTCCGATGGCTTCAATTGTTTTCAGCTGGAAGTTTGGTAGCAGCCGGCAACTGATGTTCCGTCTTGCAGCGATGGCCACTCCTCCACCTCCATAGCAGGTGCGATCAAGTCTGACGAGCCGGAAGTCGGGAAGGAATACGTTCAGTTCTGGCTTCAGATGCTTCTCGGTGATGATAGCAATGTCGACCTCCTTGGTGTTGAGAAAATCGAGCAGCTCTCTATGCTTGGTTGTCAGTGAGCAAGCGTTCCAATTTGCAATTTTTATAGCTTCACGGTCCATACTTGGTAACGAGTGACAAGGCAGCATGAAGCTGTTCAGATCGAGTCTTGCAGGTGCGCAGAATGACGATCACCTCTGCAACCAGCGTTACTAGTTCCTCTGATGTTAACGGAGATTCGTCACCTGAGGCAACACGCGCATACGATAGTCCAGGCGCCGAGGCAGAACCTTGATTTGGCAGAGCTGCAGCAGCAGTCAGGCGATGCTGAGCTGAGGGGGCGGCTCGTTGACTGTTGTTGAGAGGTAACGGTGGAAGATTTGGGACCAGACGACGAGGATGGATTGCCAGGTATTGTTCGTCCGTGATGGCTGGTGGTGCACGTTTATTTCGATACCGGCCTGGCTGGTTGCTAGTAGCAATTCCCAACACTAGAGGCGTGCTAGCCTTAATGTAAAACTTTCGTCAATTTTCCTCGAGCAATTTTTTGAGGAAAACCTAGGAAAATAATACTCAGTTTATGTTTTTGTGATATTGAGTGAAAAACAAAACAATTTTGAGTGAATTTCATCGGCCGGGTAGAATGTAGGAATGCATGAAATGTGTTAAAAAAAAATAGCAATAATTCTCTGCCCTCTATGAAATTATAATAATCAATATTTTCTCACTAACCTTGGAAAGCGGCTTCTACAGAAACGTCGGCTTCTGTGCACATCGCTGCACCCACGATGACGATAAATGAAAATCCAAACAGCCACATGTTGACTCAGTTTCTATGAATTCCTTATTCAGTAAATTAAGCGATCAGAAAACAAACACAGATAAGCCAAGAACCACTAATCTCTTCGAATCACTTTCTTCTTCAGAATGACGCTTCACTCTTTCTTCAACGCATAAAATGGCTGTTGCTTCGCCCCACTTGAACTACGACATAAAAAGCAATCGCTCAGTGTTTACCAAACATTAGACTACAGCCACTGACACTAATTAGCAGAGACGCGCAAATACATTGTCGAAATTTATTTATCCCGGAATAATTCTTCCTTGTTTCCTGTTCTCACCATCCAGTGGAGAGACCGGGTCTTATTTTTGCCCCTCCGCGTTGTATTCACTGTTGTTTATTTTTCATTAAAATCATTTATTCATGACTTCTTTGCCATTCTTCTGGTGAATCTACCATCGGCTTCTATTTTCACATGCCGAATTTTCCAAGTGCTCTTCCACTTTGGGAAAGCTTCCGGAAAATATGACTTTTCCACCTTTGCCAGACTCTCTCACACACATCTGCGCCGCCTTTGGCCGGGTGATTCAAGTGTTGTTTGCCTAAGAATATTACGTTTATGTTTTATTTTGGCTTGCCTCGTTCAACGGAGCCGGTGAATGTCAGTTCGTTCACGATTGAAGCTGATGTACGCATGTAAGACAAAATTTTAATGATGTTTGTTTAATACTTGTTTCGGTTCTGTGTAAAACTTGCTCTAAGCTGTGTCTATTACAAGCACTGCACCCCATACAGAAGGGTAAGTTTAGGTGGAAAATTAAGTTCACAAATTCTGTTGCTTCATGTGGCCAAACACACACATCGATGCTGTCCTATCTCTCTCTCTCACTCTGATCGGCGGTGCATTCAGGCTGATAAGGGTTGATGAGCTGTAAATAGAGATAGAAAAATAAGAGAGTTCATTAATTTTCGGTTGAATGAGTAGCGGCTTGTGTTGCTAATGGAGTTCCCGTAAGCCGTTTTTGGGAAAATTGGACGATTATGATCGAAAATGAAGAGCACTTGGCCTTGAGCTAATAAACACGGAAAGGTTTGTGAAAGATTGAAATTGAAGCGCAAGTAACGATTTCGTAGAAGTGGACTGCATCCGAATATGAATATGACATGAAATCCTAGCGGGACAAAATAACCAACATTCATAACTTCAACCCCAGTATGTACTATCGTACTCGGAAGTAGCTACAATTCTAAATCCTTGCAATACATTTCGTGCGTCTCTAAATCTCCCAACTCCAAAAAGCGAAACGTTTTCATCCGTTTGGTGTTCCGTTAGGATTCCGGCAGTAATCCAGCTTATCCTTTACCAGACACAGCATCCTATTCGGTCAGAAACATATGGGTACCCGCTCCCACGAAGGTGCCAAAACAGTAGTCATGTGACGTATTCCTCGGTGACTGTTGTGGTTTGTGTTATTGTTGGTCTTGTATCACCACAAGCCGTTTGACGTCTTTCCAGGCACGGCAGACTTGAGGTAAACGACTTTTGTAGCTAACTCTGTTGAAACTTTGTCGTAATAATGGAAGGATTACGAGATTATTGCTTCTTATAAATCATCCAGAAGGAGCAACTTAGAATACTATCCCGAAGACGTACATAGATGAACGACGGTTAAACTGGATGTGCCAGTCAGGAGTTTGATTTACATGCATTTATTGCCACTTGTACTTCATGCTCCGGACGGAAAATTTCACATTAAGTAGTGGTTCGAGCAATTAAGCATTGACATAAAGAATAAAAAATCTAGGTCAATGCAATTTTTCATTGTCTCGCAGAGAATATCTCCGTCGAAACGATAGTCCTTTCCGGGGAACGGATCCTGTATCAAAATTGCATTGCTAAAGAGCTGTACCAACACAACAGTTACACATGCAGTGCGATGAAAAATGGCAAGAGTGCAAATAATTGCTTCCATAGTGGAAATGATACGAATACATGTTCTGAATGTGCCTATCTATCTATGAACAATTGTACATGTACAATCACTGGGACTACGAAACGCATTGAGCATCGGAGAGGAGAGCAGGACAAACATTAGCTTAGACATTTCGAGCTGGCGGTCTCTTCTTGAACCCGAACAAAAAGTTTATTCATATATTTTAATTATTTGTGTAAAATATCCTGACATCCTTTCGGATAATAGTTGTCCCTTCCGGAAGTTTCCTGGTGTTTTCCCATGGAAAGCAAATACGTATCCCACGTAGAGTTGGTGAGCACTGAGATGGGGGTCGGTTGAAGCAAAGGAGGAGCGTGATAATAGCAAAGGTTCTATTCAGTAGCAAACGAGCTTGTTCAAAATGCATGTGACAACTTTTGAAAAGATGGGTTTCTCTATTATGCATCCTCTACAGTAGGACAGTACTGAGAAGCAGCAAAAAAAAACTTTTTATAAGGTCGGTTGGAATAACATCTGACTTGGGTGTTGGTTTTGCTCCGGACACACAATCAGTTGTACAAGCTGTGATGAATAAGTTTGACCATAGGAGAGCCATCCGTCCATTTGCCGGGTGATGCTGCTAATTTGATTTCCCTGCGGTTGTCTGTTGATGGGTGTGCAGGAACTCATCGGATGAACCGGAATCATTATGGATGATTGTGTATCATATCTCTGGATTTAGCAATGATTGGAATCTGTAGTAGAATGCGATTAAGATAGTAGGTCACTTTGAAGCAGATATAAGAGAATTCTCTACAGAATAGCAGAAAGTATTCCTGTCATGCAGCTCGACTAGCCAATGAAGGCACACATGCAAGACAATGCTTGCTGATCATTGGAAACTGGAAAGCGTATTACTGATTAGTTGCATTTGCTGGAGGTTATTGATATACATGGAGGAAACAAAATGATTTTATTTTATTTAAGAAATTGTGTAAAAAAGCTCATTCACAAGTTATGCCAGGAATTATAATAATATCTCTTACAAGTTAGAACTATGCATGGTAATAAAGTAATGTTCTATCAAATATTACTCGAAACAAAAAACTTGCATGTAACTTATATGTCATTTCAAAAAGGGTGGAACGGTCAAAAATTGGTGGACTCAAATTTGGTGATTTTTTTTTAAATCGTACTTTTGAAAAACTTGAACTCCCCTCATTTTGCATGTCTGTGCGTACGTAATTCTACCTCTATTTTTTAGCTATTTTCTATTCAATTATAAAAATGGCGTAGATGCAAAAGAACCATAAGCGAAATCCAAATTATTATTCCGACGCAGATTGATTTCGACAGATATTTGATTGCGTCATAATAAACGATGAAATGTGCGTCAAGGTGGATTTCAAGCAGCTCCCATGTCAAGAGTTTACACGGCTACGGCTACAATTTACACCTGTGGGCTGAAGAGCGAAATTTTCGTGACAACTGGCACTGTCAACCAAGATATTTTTAGAAAAGAAATGTTTGCAAAAAACGATTGTTGCCTTTTTAAAGAAAGGAACGGTATACCTCCAACAACGTGCAAGTCTTACCCAAGGACAAATACCATCCAAACTTGTCGGAGCTGCACCCATTTGAAAAATGTTGGGCAATCGTTAAGCGGTACCTCAAGAAAACTCAGAAAATAATTTTAGGTTAATACAACAGTGGTACAAAATCTGATGGAAGGTGTGAAATGTAAAGCCCAACAATTTGCATTTGGAAATTAGGAAGCCTAATCAAATAGTTTTTCTGTATTTTATCCTCACTGAACTTCAAAAAGAAATAAAGTTTGATTATTTATACAATATCATAATCAGTGTGCACATAATCATGATTTACCAATTTTTTACAGTTCCACCCTTACGGAGTGGGATGTATTTAAATTTTTTTCCGAAAATAATATGAATTTGTAATACATTTATTTCAATCAACTTCACATACAAATTCATAAGCAAAATAACTAAAATATGACTAATCCTGATGATTGCATGGCTTTCAGCAATACACCCACACTTACCCACAGTGCATCGCTGCCATGCAACACGTTGTATGTGTATTTTCTGTGATAATTTACTGCCTTTCTTTCCGACACTTGCAAAACAAGCTATCAAAGTACAGTACCGAATTCAAATCTCATATCTGTCATACGAAGCTGTCGCCAAGTTTTTCTCATAATAAGAGCCACTAAAGTCAATCCACATCACGCTCTCGTGCCGTGCGGATCTATTTTCTTTTTGCTGAAGAAGGTGATACTGCTACCTAAAGCTACAACAAATTTAAACAGCACTTTTCAGTGCTCAATTTTACCTGCAAATTGTCTACCCTTTTCGATCGTATTCCTCTTCGATCTTTATTTGGACCCTATCCGAGGTAATCCTGCTTGGATATCGATTTGGAAAATTCCTGTTCGATCCTTCGGATTATTATAGTAATCTGCTTTGAAATTGATTTGAAGAAACGAGTTACTGCCGCCATGGCGCCTAAGCGCAAAAGAATAGGGCAGTCTCTTGATCTCGCTTCTGATGACATTTATTTGATCACTCAATTTTATATGCTCACGGATGATGAGAATGATCCATCGTCCAGGCAAAATTTTGTTAAACTTTCCCAGCTTAATGCCAAGAAGGAAAGGTCCCTCCTATTGTGATAACCATTTCCGATTTCCATGCTCTTCGCACGGAACTTTTGAACTCGTTAAATTCAATTTTTCACTTCAGATGGGCCTACGGGGTGAATGCAATGTATTGGCTGAAACCTTGGACGGATTCAAACGTCTTCTCTAGTATCTTACTGCGAAGCAGCACATTTTTTTACTTCCGACACCAACACTGAACGTCTGTTCAAGGTTGTCTTGAAAGATCTACCCAGTGCTAAATCTTTGGATCAGATCAAAGATGAATTAACACAATTACTTGGAATTGATCCAATCCAAGTATTCAAAATGAAAATGAAATCCCGACCTGGCAATTCACGCAACGGGATTTCCAATGATTTTTATTTAGTTCACTTCATGTCTAGTTAACTTTAATTCTAGTGAACCAAGCAACCTTAAGGCCTTAGAAAAATTTAGCATAATGCTCTGTCCGTGTGAAGTGGGAACACTTCAGGAAGACTAGAGAGATTTTCAAAACCTCACCATGTACCGTAAGTACCAAGGATGGGATCACAGATCAAAAATTGTTACATGCCAGCTAAATGCATAGATTGTGGTGATTCCTCTCACGCAAAGGAACACCATCATTGTCCATAAACGTATCAAACATCATATTGTTTCTAAATTTGAAACCACAGTTTTTTGAAACTTTGGGAGTTTGTATCGAATAAAAATGTGCACAACTTCGGTTTAAAGCTGCCTATTTTCCATTCCAACGCGCAGGCCACCAAAAGAATTTTCTCAAAGGTGAACTTCAGAAACTAACCCGGCATAGGTCTAAATTCTTCTTTATTGGTGATTTTAATGCAAAACACCGCTCAAACCAATTTCAATGGAAATATTCTGTTTGATAATCGTTCTGCAGGTTATTACACTATTCAATATCCAAACAGCCTAACATGCTTTTCTTCAGCAATAAATCCCTCAATTTTTGATTCGGTCTTAATTGATTCATGTTAAACTTGTACCAAATTTTTTACTCATGCTGAATTCGGTGATCACCTTTCAGTTTTGAAATATCCCAAGAAATAATGTATAATCCCAACAGCTCTACTTTCAATTACCATATAGCTGATTGGAAGCAATATCGAACATTTATTCCTTTTCAAACCAAAGATGATGTTAATTATGCTCTTCAATCTTTGACTACTTCTCTAGTTGAAGCAAGAGCTGCCTCAGTACCCGAAGGCGAGGCAAAATTCGATTCAATTATAATAGACGAAGATCTTCAGCTCTTGATCCATCAGAAAAATGTATTTATTTTATTTATTTATTTATTTATTTATTTATTTATTTC